AATTTGCTATTTCTTCATATTTGCCCTACATATTTTAATTCCGTTTTTCCACTTACTATACAATTTCCTCTTTGTTTAATTCATTTGGACTTTGTTATCGTGGCTCAATGCCATTTCACACAGTAGAACGAACATGTGTGTATGCTTATTTCCTCCGATATCGTGCAACGAACGTTCTATGCATTGTTTTCATTGTCATTGTGTTCTCCTTTTATCATTGCCAGTTTCGTCTTATTGCATCTCTTTTGATCGAGATTTTTACGTATCTTTCATTTTTTCTTTACAAGTTTTACGCTTAAATTAATCGACTGTGTAAGATCTTAAATATGTTTATTTATACAAAGCCATTTATTTACCAAATGTCGCACGAGAAAGCCTTTTATTCTAAAATTATTTGAGTTTTTTATACGTAATTATCTTTTCCTTTTTCTACTGGAAATAAATAGACATCTAATATTATATATGCTTTCATTTTGTCTAAATATTTTTAATTCTATAAGTAACATTAATTAAAATTTAATACTTTCATAATTATTATTTATCGGGGTTAGAAGATTCAATAATTCATAAATAAAAATATTTTTTTAATATTTTTGTGAATTATATCAAAAAGTTAGTGACTACATTTACAATTAAAATTCATTTAAAATGAATAGTTTGGCGAGGTGACAAATATTAATTTTATTATCGTATAAATTTTATTCAAAGATATATATATATATATAAGGCCGAACCAAAAATTCCATAAATTTAGAAGTTATCACGGCTACAAAAAAGAAAAAGAAAAACATAATGTCTTTAAAATCACAAAGAAACTTTCGTGTTATTGAATATATACATCAATTATCAAAATAACTACAATATTTTAATTGATTTGACTTAAAAAATTTATATAAAAAATAGTTGTTTAAACTTTAATATTATTGAAATATTTTAAATGAACGAGTATTTCTAAAATTATAATTAGTTTAATTATTTAGATATATAATATTGATGTATATAATAATATAATTGTTACAATATGAATTATATTATCAATATGAATATTATTAACAATATTTATTTTAACTAAATATCCACATGTTAATTAATATTTATGACATTTTATTCATTTAATATGTATCCAAATAATTTGTATCTATAGTAGATTTAGACAAAGATATAGACAAAGTAAATTTAATTAACTTAAATGATTTGTTAAATTTATCTTTATAATTTAACTTTATCTATTTTAATAAATCATTCAGTCTATAATATTGTTTAAATCAAATTAAAGTGACAGGTGACTTTTAAGTATGTTTGAATGAAATGTATTATATTATGATAGAAGAAAGACTATAAAATGTTTGTTTTCACGAATGCAATACGAATGCAAAATAAATTATGGTATTATATAATACTGCCAATTTGACTTCGTGCAAAGTGACAGTTACCACTACTTTTCCGAAAGAAAATTCTGTTATTCATAATTTATTGAATATTTGTTTTAAATGTTTAAGGTATTTGAAGAATTTTTAAACATTGTATCTTAAATATTTATAATTTATTTGAGAAATTAAATTTGGTTCTGAGAAGTTGATAATACATTTAAAAGAAAGGAAAATGATTTTAAAGGAATGTGAATAGAATAGATGTATGAATCGATGATCTTGGGGAGATTCAATTTTTAGAGTAAAGGCTAAACAAGTTTCTAAAAATGTATAGAAGTTTTAAAAATTATTGTTATATTTACAAAATTTATATAATATTTATAACTACATAATCTTAATTCATATAAATAAGGAATTAAGTATAGTATATGAATCCAATGTGTTCGAAATTATAGTGATGCAATTCTTAGCTCGAACTGCCAATGCTTCAATAGCTGATGTTTGCCGTCCTCCCTAGCAGACGCCCGGGAAATTGTTAGGTGGAAAGCCCGTACAAGAGTCGTGAGAGTTGGTTAATTATACATTTATTATACAATTTATTACACAATTTACATATGGGTGTTGTAGAATCTACTTGAATCTAGTGTGAAGATGCGATTTCTCGAATGGTTTCTTGTATGGGATGTGTCACCACACAAGATGCTCTTGAAATCGTTTAATTATGGTGCCGATCATTGCCATAGGCGAGCAAGAATAATGAGATTGCGCGGATAGTGTACTCACAGTGATGCAGTATCTTGATCCGATCCTGGGTTGAGTAATTTACCACAAAGCACGCGGCAAACATAAACGTGCGTGGTCGTTCGTCCCTCTTGTAAGTGAAATGATAACATCAAGTTGACCACAAAAAACACGCGGCAAACACAAACGTGAGTGGTCGTCCTTCCCGTCGACGGTTTATCACAAAACACGCGGCAAACACAAACGTGCGTGATCGGCCTTCCGTCGGCGATTGGATACCACGGTTGATGTATCTTTTTCTGGTCAGTGGATGTCCGCAAGTTCTTGGTTACTAGTTTACCAATTCGTACGGGTGCGTAAAGCTTCCCTGCTGACCTGGCTGCTCTTCCGGATAGCCCCTTTTCTCTTGACTTTTTTTTCGAAACAGTCCTTGACTGCTGACGCAGACAGCATGTTCCAATTGTCCCCCGCGGACAGCGACTTTTCGCTGCCTTGTTCTCACCTTTAAGGCCTCTTGCCACGAGTCCCCACTCAAGGGGCTTCTGGTCTTAGTTTTCCAATCAGGACGCCCCGCTTTTAGGCGGCATGATGAATCTGGACACCTTTTTCCCACTTCAGAAGAAATTAGGCTTGGACAATGAGAATATCGAAGAAGTATCTTTGGCGGCAATGCGTGAAGTGGAAGATTTGCCCCTCTCCGGGACTCACCGTGGGGGGGTAATTTTTGGTCAAGCGTCTTCGCTTGGCCTATTCAAGCAAGCAACATTTGTCGTACTTGACAACAATGCATGTGTATGCCCTTGTGGCATTGAAGGCACACGTGCGACGCAAATGTCGAGAGTCGCGCGTGCCGAGTTTCGGGTTGCAACGGATTTTAAGAAATGTTTTCACTAAATTGTTTTGAAATATTTTACGCTTGAAAATATTCTCGCGTAAACAGGCTAGCCGGGTTTTGATGGTAAATAGTAAGGGTCGTTTATTGTATTAAAAACAATTAATACGTCTGTAGTACGAAGAGCAATAAAGTGACTGTTTACGAGTATTTTTCAGATGTACTAACCTTTTCGAGACTTCAGCAACCTTGGCGAGACTTTCTTAGATTTTTATGTCCGTTCGATAATTCTTTTTATAATAGCCGTTGAAATTTTCCTAATGAATACAATTCGAGAGATTCTCGATTCACTCTCGAACACAATGAATATTTTTCTTTTTATAATTATTTTACATGAGGTGAAAATTAGTACTGTATAAATATTAAAAAATATTATTATTTTTAAGTATATGGTTTTAAATATTCTAAGTACAAAAATTGTATTATAATTGAAATCGTAATAAGATATTATCAAATAAAATATTATTCCCAATCCCAAAAATATTTATTGAAAAATCATATTCCATTATAATATAATAATATTATAAATTTTCAAACCATTTAATCACGATAAAGTAATATAAAAACTAGTCAACGGGACAAACATTTCATTTAAAATTCCGCCTAATTTATTATTAATATCATTTACTTCATTTATTAATAATTATTGATAAAATTTATGGATTAATGTTCTTTTAACATAGTTCATATTGACATAATTCTTGTCCTCACATCTCCTTCTTTCAGCATAATACAATTCTTGGGAAAAAAATAATATGTTACATTTTGTGACGTAAGACGCTTTAAAAAGAGAAGACTTCTGATTACGTGTTCCCAATTATATTTGTAGAGAAAATAAATGTCAGAGACAGGTGGAGAATTTAGATTTTATTAAATTGTATATTTGATGTTCACACAGACTGTAATGAGATGAAGGATACAATTGCTAGTTTGACGCGTGCATTATTTTTATTTTGTCGAAAGGAAAATTTATTATTTTTAATTCTTTATATTTATAAAAAATCTATAATCGTATTCGTATAAAATTTTATAAATTTTATTTATTATTAGCTTACAGTATTAGATTTAAAACTTTTGCTCTGTTTTCTTTTAAAATAATGGTACTCGAAGATACTGAAAAAACAATTCTAATAAAGCTTGTATTTCTTATTTAAAAATCTGAGATGAATTTGTATTTATTCAGTAAAAAATATGAATACTTATTTAATATTTGTGTTCACAGCTCTTATTTTACAGAATAAATTTAATGCCACCGAAGGGTGTATCGATCAAATGATACATTGTATATTAAAGATAGTCATATTGCATTTGAGGTCGTATAGGAGCACTGAAAATATTATTCTAATAAATCTAGGCTAAAACTTTTTACCGAATGGATTAAACATGTTTTGAGATTTAATAACAAAAAGTGATATAGGATTAAATTTGTCCCTATATTTCAATAAAAAGAAGTAGGTGATTACTAAAATATATATATATATATATATATATATATACATATAAAGGAAAGACACAAGGTAGTAAACCGTGGATACAAAATTAGTTTAAATCAAATTTGAACTAATATTAATATTATGGTTTGTAATTGTTAAAGAAAATAAATTCTTAATTATTTTTATAAACTCTGAAATCTGATAAAAGATCACAAAATTTTGAATTTTATGATTTTACAAGTTATGTGATTTTAATTATAATTAGTAATTTATAATCACTTTTTCGGGTTGTTTCAGTTTCCAAGTATTTTTCAATAAATATCCGAGAAATGACAGATTAGGATTAGGCATGTAGAATGTATTATATTTTCTGTAAATATATATTGTTATCAATTGGAAATTTATATAAAAAAATTAAGCGAATAGAATCGCCTAGTAAATAATATTTATAATTAATATTTTCCTTATGCTTACGATTCTCTCATCATGCATGTCTACCTTAAGCAACTGTACAAAACATCTAACACATTTCTTCTCTTTTTGCATGATTCTTTATTTCAACAGAGGCATCTTCGACAGACAGGATAGTGTGAGGTCGGATTACATGTCAGACCGTGAGAGCAGATATGGAATTGTGCAACAAGCCTCCCTTGAGAGCACAGACTCGAGGCTCTGCTACTTGACATCTTCGGAGGTAAGTTTAACTAAGTGGCCTGTTGACCCTTTATATCTACATAGTTAAACGGGAGAGGGAGAGAGAGAGTGAGAGAGAGAAAGAGAGAGAGAGAGAGAGAGAGAAATTTCTGTCTCACTTATCTTCAAATACTGTAACGCCCATTACACGAAAATGTTCTTTCGCGCACGCGTATTCCATATATGATGATGATATAGGTGATATATGCTCAACTTCTTTCTCTCTCAATTGATAGGTCTATTGAAAGATATCTACGCGACATTGAGTGCTTTTCTTCTGGCTTTAGCTCTTCGACAATTTTATATATTAGCAAAGCCCTTTTACTTTTTACCTCAATCATTATATATACTTTTATAATGTAAAATTGGCTTATGAGGAAATCCAATGCAAGTAACTATTGAAAAATTGATTATGCATTACATATCGATGAATACATTGAAATACGCTGTTAACATGTTGAATATTATCTACTATTTATTTTGATAAGAAGCGATTTAAAAGCATTCAAGTTGACGGCGATTTAGTTCTAATTATTACAATTTTCACCATATTTTACATTCATCTATATATACATGAGCCTTCCTCGGTTTAAAACATCATTTTAAATGTTTACTCGATGAATGCTAGATCATTTAAAAATTTAATTCTTACAAGTATAATTCATTATGACTACTACGTGCAATAAAATAATATTATTAAAATAATCATCAGTTGCATTAATATTATGTTTTATGATTTAAGATAAAGATTTACCCATTTATGCAAAGGCGTTTAAATACGAGTTAAGACGTTTTTGCGTATCTTAAATTTTTAACACATCCATTTTATATATATTGATTTATGTTAAATAATAATATTATGCGCTTTTATTCACTTATCAGTTTACGTACATACACTTTCAATTTAATTATATTAGAATTAGCTTACGCTTAATGAAATTGAATTTTATTAGTTTTAATGAACTTGTTAATATTTTATTTACACATTCTCGATAGCTTATATTTATTACTAAATTACGTATATTTATTTTGTAGTACATAGGCTTAACACAAGTATATTATATGATTGTCGTAAAATACAAATCGTATAACTGTTTTAACTCCAAGCAATAAAATTCTTCGAATCACAACGTAATTTGCTTTCATTTTAACACGCTCTATTTTTGGTACAAATATTATATTTTTAAGATGAACTTATGCCTACTTAAATAGCCGCGTATGTATAAAATCTTGCATTTTTAAATGATTTATAAATGTTTTATCATAATTACATAAGTGCTACGCCAAAAACCAAAAACTAATGAAAATTTGCTCTCGAAAATATGATTGAAAATTATTATCTGCAATTACATGTAATACCGAAATTATATGTAATTTGTTTTTCATACATTTGATATGGCCATTTTTAAGTAAACATTATTATTATTCATGTGTATAAACATCTTATGACTTTCATTTTTGTCAAATTATCAATTTTTTTCACATATTAAAAGTCATGCAATCGCATATTTTTTAAAAGAAATATACCAAGTATTTATTTGCTATTCCTTTTCATTCAAAGATATTTTAAAAATAAACTCATATACCCAAATTTGCTGTTATATTTTCATATTCATCATGTAAAATTGATATAATATTGTTTATGGTGATGTGCGAATTTTACTAAGCAAACTTTCTCTAAACTGCCTTAGTAACATAATTCATTTAATTACATATGTTTATACAAATAGAATGTATCCTTGTACTTTATTTAGATTCAAATATTTTTTTATTAAGGTTATATACAGAAAAGATGTAGATTGCATTTTATAAGAGCATTGAACATTGATATTGATGGATGGTAACTTTTTATTAGTTAGCATTTCTTTTCATTTATTTTAAGTTATTTTTTTTTTTAAGCTTTGCTCTCAATAAATTATATTTAAATATTTACCTAATCGACGTTTACGCAACGAGTACACGATTCATCACTTAGAAAATATAAACATGACGCGTTGCATTAAGTAAGGGAATGTATATATGACATACGTGCTGAGCAATTGCGAGGCCACAGAATGCACTACATTTGAGATAGACGGATAGAAGTGTAAACGGAAAAGTCGCGTTGTCGAAAATATTGAAAGCGCAGTTTATTTTTGAAAATATTTGGATTCTGTTGTCAAAAGCGTAGGTGAAAAAAAATAGAAGTGAGCAATATCCTAGGTGGAATAATCTCCATTTTCTCATCGGCATATAAAGGAATTCGAGCCGATCGATAAAACAGTCCTATAATTGTTCGTATTTTCAATTAAATCTCGGCAATGTTACGCTCGATCATTACAATAGCATGCTCGGAAGATCAAGAGGTGGAAAATAATACGTCCACATGGCTATAGAAAATATTATTTAACGGGGATGGAAAAATCGGAAGCGTATTGCTTATTCGAGGCGCACTTTTGTGGACATTGCGCGGAAGAAAGAGAACGTATAATAATGAGCGTCCAAGACGAAAGGAACGCGCTTCTATTGGCAACGAGGATTGGAGGGAAAAGAACGCGTGTACGCATATGAAAAGCCAGTTGAAAAAGTGCATTACTTTTGAACGTAAGCGGCTTTGAAGTAATCCACATCGAGGCCGATTCTTGCTCTTTTTACACATCCATTTGCGAGGCGAGCGTCTCTTCTGCCTCCCTCCTTCCACGATAGCATGACATTTTTAAACTCGCACTAGAAGACGGATCAAATACGTTTTAGCTTCGAAGCTTTTTCACCCCACAAGCTCTGGCACTTTTGGATTATTACCACCGCAGCGATAGCGTCAGAAGCTCCTATCCTCGACTACTCATCTAGCATAACTGTAAGGACGGGTAATTCTTAATTATTTCTCAAGCGCTGTAAGCGGACAGTTTCGTATTATAAAGCGCCAATGAGCTGGTTGGAAGGGAAAGGCAACATGTGTATCACGAAAATTATTTTAAGCTATATATAATAAATAAATATATATATATATATATATATATATATATATATATAAATAAAATATATAGAATAATTAAAAAGAAAAGATAAACTCAGCTTGAATTTTATATACTATTTAGTCAATATAATTAACTGGAATAAAAGTTTCGAGAAAGTTTTTATAAACCAACTGGTGGTGTAAAGTAGTTTATCGGTCTGTTAATGTAATTTTGTATAAGGCTAAATTAATGCCATGACAACAAATTGTGATTAAATTTTAAACAAGCCGTTTAACTTTCGAGATGTTAATAAATACTAAGCATTTTCGACTGAAGTTTTACTCTCGATTATGGATGTATGCGGATCGATGTTGGTAAATTATAAATAGAGAGACGAAAAGTCTGAAAGAATTATCTAACTGGACTAGGAACCGATGCTATTGTGTGTTATTTGTGCATCTAGTTTACACCGTTAATTTTAAATGAAAACACTGATGTGGAAAATCGACAAGACCAGAAATACACATTACTAATTCTACCTCAAAATATTTACTATACATTTTATAATTTATAATAAATCATAATTTAATACTAACAGCAAATAATAATAATAACAGTAAATTATTAGATAATAATAAAAATGATAAAATATATAATTTAATAATAAAACCAAAATTACGAGTCTATAAAGAAGAAATTAATTGATCAAATTACTCAAAATAGAAAACAATCCGTCGCAATTATTCTATATGAAACGTGAATAGATAGGAGAGTGATGCATCAGCAGTAATAAAAATTGTTATTATCGAGTCAATCGCCGAGATCGACTCGTTTGAAATATTAACGTAAAATGGTGCAAGGTCTAAATTGTAAGACTGCGCGTACATTGTAACGGATCTCGAATAAAAGTTCCATTATCTCGTCGTTCGTCGTATCTACGGAACCGCTGGATGTCGACGGCAAATCGAGGCTCAGGTGCTGAAACGAGCGGCCGCGGATTACGCGGAGAATAAAAAGGGGGCGGCGGATGGAAGGAAGCGATAACGAAATGGGGATTGCAGTTGGATGGACGAGGCGGACGCTGAGTAATGATCGATGTTGTTGGCGAGGGTTAAGGAGAGTAGAGAAAGCCAGATGACAGGTTACGTGCTCAGTCAATAACCCAGTAACCCGAGGTGATTGGTTCGCTCTCTCTCTCTGGGTCCAATAGTGCGGCCCTGAGTTTACATTCGCCAGTTGGCCTTAGTGTGCGGCTGGGGAGGGGGGGGGTACCGATGCGCATTTGCAGGTTCGTCGGAGCACGTATGGAAGCGGGATTGGAGTCCGGGTAGAGCAGACGAGAGTGATAAAAAGATGTGTGTGGGACGCTGATTTTTCTTACAGTACCATGCAAGGATACGATTTGTATTGGGATGCTCATTTTGAAATTTTAGAATCTGAAACTTGTGAGATACCTTTTATTCATTCTACGTTAAATGCGAAAAATTGGTTTTTCCATTGTATTATTGTAATTATAATTAATAATTATTAGCACATTATTATAATTATACTTGTTTTTGATTCACTTATTACACTTACCAGTTCTTACATTAGAAAACTGCATGAATAAGCATATAATTTTTCAAGTTATTTTGTACGCATCATTTAATAAAGTTTGATACTTTTTGTTTGATAAGTAGAAATTAAAATATCAATACTTTTACATGGAATTTTGAAATCTTGGTTTAATATTTAGAATTTGTGTAGCTCATAATCGACTGTACAGAACAAACTCATTTGATAGTGTTTATGTATTTAATACATTTTCGTGCTTGTAAAATAATTTTATGAAATTACGTTTAACAAAGTTTTATTTAGCCTTGTATAGTATGCATATATATCTACTAGAGTTTCGCGAGAAATTAAAAAATTATGTAAATTATGAATTGATAAAAAAATTGAGTATTAAATAAAGTCGAAAAACTTTATCAATCAAAATATTGTATAAAATATGTAGGATTAAGTTTGAAAAAATTAATATACCAAGAAAAATAATCATAAATAAGGAAAGCAATTATAAATAAAT